AGGTGGGTACGATCTACACGCGGAGTGAGCTGCGGCGGCTGTCGGAGACGTGTCGACGGCGGGATTTACTGCTGCATGTGGACGGAGCGCGATTGGGGGTGGCGCTGAGCGCCGAGATGAATGATCTCACCCTGCGCGATATGGTGGATTACACGGACATCTTCTGGATCGGTGGCACGAAGATGGGCGCCTTGCTGGGCGAGGCGGTCGTGGTGCGCAGAAGTCTGGCCGAAGGGTTTGAATTTAATATCAAGCAGCGCGGAGCCTTGCTGGGCAAGTCTCGCGTTATGGGGGTGCAGTTTGCCGAGTTGTTTCGGGATGGATTGTATTTTGAGCTGGCCAGACATGCCAATGCCATGGCACGGCGCATTTCGGCGCAGTTTGAGCGCATGGGATGGGAGCTGGCGGCCGACACAGAAACCAACCAGGTGTTTGTCGTGGTACCGGATGCGATGCTGCATCGGCTGGCGGAGCGCATTCGGTTCTACGAGTGGGACAAACGTGAAACTGGCACGGTGATTCGCATTGTGACAGCGTGGGCTACGGATGAGATGGCGGTGGATAAACTGTGTCAGTGGCTGCAGGCAATCCATCAGGCATAGTTGGGTTTGCTTCATTCTTAATGTCATGATAATAATACCCGAGCTATCTAATAGAGAGACAGAGACAGAGACAGAGACAGAGACAGTGACAGTGACAGAGACAGAGTTTAATGTGATGAACTAATGAGATCTCCATGAGTCAATCGGAAGATTAACATGGAACCCTAATTAAAAATAAACAGAGGGAGACAAAATGGCCGGGCCAGACTGTTGGGGAAATTACTTGATGGAATCCACTTGCTGCAATTTCCGTGACAAAGAATATGGCACTTCCCCTCATTATTCCCGATCATTCTTCTGTTATTCCCGACCGCCGGGAATATAATATTGATACCCCTCACGTGCCCCTCACACAATCCCGCTTCCCCCCTCAATATTGGCCAATTCCATCTTAATTTATTCCCGTGTCGGCTTTGAGGTGATTTGCAACAATGCGCCTGTCCATTTCCTGCGACAGCTGTCGGTAAGCTAAGCTCCCTCACTTCCATTCCATTCCATTCCAATCCTCCCTGTCCAATCACTTTTATCAATTGCTCACTTACCAGACAATCCAAGGTCAAGTGCATCCACGATGGCCATCCTCCCTGCCGTCGCTGCCACCGCCTCCATCGCGATTCTTGCGTCCTGACCGATCCGCGCTCTCCCGGTGTGCGTACGCCCCGAACCCCTCGCAGAGCCACCATCAGAAGAACCGGTTCAGCTTCAGGTTCGGCATCAGGGATAGCAACAGGGACCAGAACAGCGACAGACACAACGAGGACAACCGCGACCACTCCCACAGCCAGCTCGCTCGCTCCTACGCCCACTCCTTCTCATTCCGCTAACCCCGTTGCTGCTATCGCCCCGGCCACTCTCATCGCAGCATGCGACATCTACCGCAAGAAATTTCCAGTCGTCAACTTCCTCCACTATCCCTCGCTGATCGCCGATCTCTCCCACAATGCCTCCGCGGTTGAACCCGTTTTTCTCTCAGCTCTACTCTCTCTATGCGCCCGCTTCATGCCCGACGCCGCCCTGGCTGCTCCTGAAACCTACGCCGAGTATGCGCGCTCTCAGCTGGCCCATCGCGCCTTTGAAGCTCCCTCCCTCTATCTTGCACAATCCCTTGTCATGATCTCGCTGTATGAATGGGGTTCTGGTCGGCCTTATCGCGCATGGATGTGCAGCGGTACTGTTCCACTCAACTTACCCCTTCAGCCCGACCATCACTAACACAATGGGCCGATCTAGGCATGGCCACCTACATGATCCAATCCCTCCTCAAGACCGCCGATGACACCATGGAACAACAACCCCTTCTCGACCTGCCCGCTCATCGCATAACCTACGAACAGCTGGTCCGCACCTACTGGTGCTGCTTCGCGCAGGACTGTGAGCTCAGCTCCGGCGCCCGCCAACACTTTGCCCTCTCCTTCCGCCAGATCTCCGTGCCCCTCCCCATCAGCGATTCCGACTTTACCTTTGGGAAAGCCACGCCGCGCTTGATGCCGGCGGACATGAACCGCTCATCCTCTCTGGCCTTGAATTTATCCATTGATCGGGGATTGACGATCGTCACACGGGGGTTCGACATATTCGTTCGCATACTCCGATTCGCCAATGAGAGCCGTCGCGGTCGGGCGCAAGGATCGGCAGGGTTGTCCCTTCGCGCGTGGGAGATGCTCAAAGCCGAGCTGGACGAGTGGAGGGGGCTTCAGGATGCGACGGTGCGGTATCCCGAGACCAATGCGCAGGCGCATGTGGCCTTGGGGTCGGGGGAGTTGTTCGCTTATATCAACCTGGTGTATTTTATGAGGTGTGTTCTTTTGACCGTCCTGGTGTTCGATGAGATCATTACTGACACAACCATAGTATTCTGTTCCTCTACCGCGACCGCTTTCTCTCCACCCCCAAATCATCCATTGACCATCATGACCCTGCGGACGACGAAGCCATTGACCACCTCTTCGCGACAGCCCAGCACATCGGCGCTATACTCACTGCTCTCGAGGCCTGCGCTACCCCGGTAATCACACCTTACGCAGGGTTCAGCGTCTTCGTCGCCGCCCATATCAACATGTATGGGACTGTCTGCCCGGGCCGGTACCCGGGGGGGTTGGCGCGCGCGCAGGAAGAGAAGAAGATGAATCTGGATTACTTGGAGCGACTGTGTCGGTTCTGGGACGTGGGAACGAGCTGGGTACGACCACCCCCACACCTCCCATCCAATCTATGTTGAAAGACTAACAGGTGATAGTGGCGAACCCTCCAAGAAGCCAACCGGTTCTATGAAACCGCCCGAACCACCGCCCAAGGCCCTACAGGCGTTTCCCGTCCGGAGCACCTCACTCTGGCTGGTACCCTCGATGAATACGGCGACATTCGTGTCTCGCGACCTGAGACAGCGCCTGCTTCACGACGACGCCCAGGCGTATCCTCAGAGGGAGTTGGAGTGCGACGCATGTCGGTGGCCGAGTTAACAGCGCCAGGCGGTAGTGGAAGTAGCGGTGGTAGCGGTGAATGGGCAGATGTAGAGGCGGAAATGTGGCAATGGCCGTTCCTCGATGAGAATTGGTCTCTGGGATTCGACACGGGGTTCGAGTCGGCGTGGCCGGGGTTGAGCTGATAGCAGCGGGGTTGGCCTGTATGAGTGACGAATGTATGAGTGATGATCACACATAAAATTAATGCTATCAAGCACAATCGGAAACTGTTCTGTTATAATGGCCATCACAGCGCATTCATAGTCTGTGATATATCATGTTTAATAGTATTGGATCCGCGGAGAATTCTGTTTGATCATGACTTCGGTGATATTCGAATAGGAGATAAACCATTAACAGGGTCAGTCGACCTGCACTGATGCCTTCACACAACCATCCACTGCGACAACTTTGTTTCGAACTCTTTGGGATGCGGCACACTGGGCGCAAACATTGTGACCTCGGTCGGCGTACTAGTAGCTAGAGCACAGGCCTTCAAGTCGGTACTAGTATCATATTTATTAGTGGTTCGGTCGGCACGGTTGTGCTGCTAATTGCTGATGTGAGTGCGCCACGCTCAGTTACTCTTTTTTTTTGGGGCGCATAGTGATATGTCTCAGATATTCGTAGAAATCAACAACCGACGACACTAGCATAGTACATCACTGTAATCAAAACAAGCACAGCATAAGTCCTGGCAGGTGGTTCCGAAATTTCCGAAACTACGGAATGCAGTTTCAGTCGAATACTGCTAATAATATATATTCTCTCCCCTGCAGGTAAAGTCCAAGTAGGCGCATACGTGGCTCACATAGAATCTGGCATACAGCATCAAACCTATCGGCGATAACTACTGGTTGCGTCTACCGTTGTGAGCGGGGCATGTTCAATCGGCATTTTAACTAAGTATTTAGTTTTTCTAAGATTTTGCTCCATCGGGGAATAAAGGCTGTGACGGTAAAGGAGAAAATTGCGTGGAATCTAGAAATTGCGGTAGAAAAACACTAGCATCATTTTAAGGTTAAGCCGGGAGTTGATTTATTGCCAGAACGCGTCGATCTTTTGCGCACACAGAATATGGGTTAGTAAGTGGAGTTGATGAGACGGACAAACCACGTAAGATGGTGCGTGAATGCATCATCTCACACCTTTTTAGTCCATTTGGACAACGGCATTAAACCTGAAAGAGTTGAATCCGTGGAGTGACTACCGTAAGTAGCGTGGCGCAGATATCGAACTTTTGTTCAGAGTTGGTTTCACTTTGCTATTCTTGTGCTTCGAGATGGCCTGTTCGGTGTGGCTGGGTTTCCGTGGGTGGACCACGCCCAAGGCGCTCACCAGTTCGACGATCGGCCGTTGCATTTGCCCAGCCCTCTGTTGGGGAGGCAGAGCGAAGCTTTTAGCGGGGAGCACGCTTCGGTTGGAACCAGATTTGGTGTGCTTGGGCTAAATTCTTTTCCTCACGAAGTGGTGCAGTGGAGTCAGGGTGGACATAGGGGTGTGGTGAGGGTTCATGTTGTGGATATTGGTGATTCTCTGCTCACAGGTATCGCGAAGGGAGTGATTTCAGTTGGGGTTGAAAAGGATACCCTCATCCTCTACTGGAAATGAACAAGATAAAGCCGGTGCCATCGCCATCCATCACTAGAAACTAATGACAAGAAACGAACAAGCAACGGGTGGACCAAAGCCGCGTGGCCGCTGAGTGGCCGACGGCCCACTCCGGATCCCCGAAGCCAATCACCGAGTCAATTCGCTATAAAAATAACCTGCGAAAGCCTCAGCCCTAGTTGAGGCACGTTATGGAGTACGACGACTGCCAGCAAGATTGGCCTGGCAGAGATTTCGGCTCTCTCTCCCATCATCTCGCTCGTCATTCATATTTGAGGGCCTGTCGGTAGTTCTGTTCCGATGGGCCCTACAATCCCTTCTCTACCCTGATCTCTCTCTTCCACCTCCTCGCCCTCCTCTTCTTTCATCATTCTAACTACTTCTACCCGACTTGGCTGCTGCCTATATCTGGCCCCTCCTCTACGCCATCATGCAACTCCGCTACCTGCTGGCGCTCAGCGCCCTATCATCGGCCGCTCTTGCGCACGCGGAACCAGCGGCTGGAGTTTTTTCGCTGTCACCGCAAACCGAAGCGCCGGTCGCTCAACCAACATCCATTGTTGATCAATACCTCAAGCCCAAGCGGTATAACCGGTCCTTGAACTTCCAAAAGAGGGCGACCACCACCGATGATACCACCACGACGGATGCAGCCACCACCACTGCGGACTCCACTACATCCGAGTCGACCAGCACTACCGAAGCCACCACCACCTCCGACACCTCCACGACCAGTGCGACGACTACTGCAACCACTGCCACGAGCACCAGCTCTAGCAGCACCACTTCATCATCCTCCTCCCAATCCACTACTAGCGCCACCTCCACCACTCAAAGCACCACGACTACCTCGACGACCACTAGTACCACCACCTCCGCCACGAGCACCATCTCCGCCGCGCAAAAGGAGTACAACCACCGCGGAGAGATCGCCGCCATCGTGACCTTCAGTGTTCTCATCTTCATCTTCCTCGCCCTCACCTTCTTCCTCTGCTTCCGCGAGAAGGCCAAGACCAACCGTCTGGCCAAGAAGGCCGACGCAGGAGCCGATTACTCCATGGTGCCGCTGGCCGATGGCCGGCCCCAGAGCGAGGCCAAGTTTGACCGCGCCTCCATGATGTTCGCCTCCAACTCGCAGCTCAACCTAGACCAGATGGCAAGGAGACCTACCTCCATGGCGGCTAGTGAGACTCTGAGTGTGCCGATGAACCGGACGGCGCCGGGGACGCCTTCGGATGAGCATCGGGCGAATATGGTTTGATAGGTGGATGTACAGTCTAGATACCCGGGACAATGTTCGACATGATTGCAGCATGACATTACCGATCGGAGTCGCCATCGAAGAGGATGATGGATTTATTTCCTTAGTATCTTATTTGTTCTTCTTCTTTGTGTATATTGGATGTTTTGTTCTTCAGCGATTTGAGCCTTCTGTATGATCGTTTGTGGAGCTTTGAGATATCAGATGCATATGCATAGCGTTGTGGAGATATATCCAGTGCAGACTGTCAGTAATATGTAAGACCCGCATAGAAATGGCGCATAGTTTTGAGCTTAGCATACAGTTGCTGGGTGAATTATGCAAGCCGTCTTTTAGCATAAACTGTCACAAGATACAACAGAGTATTATGCCTGATTCATCGCCGACCACACATCAACCATTTCCCCAATGATTGCCCATCTAAACAAACTTCTACGTTCATGAATCTTACTATTCCCGGTGACACCATCCAAGCCTAGTCAGGCTATCCTTCCCACACATAACGCAATCGGCGATATCTCCAAAACCCAGCACCCTCCTAACGCCGAAAGCCGATGTATACACCACACCCCAATGGACATAAATATCAATGTCTGCACATGCCCAGATCTAACATGAATAACTACCATCATACACATCTATCCACTTTTTACATACATACGACTATACAATGCCCCAACGAATCCACTCCACCGGCTCCCTCAACGCCTTCAACCCCATCCTCGTCACCCCCGTCATCGGTACCGAATTCCCCAAAGACAGCTGCAACATCGTCGACGACATTCTCAATGCCCCGAATTCCGAACAGCGTATTCGTGACCTTGCCGTCCTCGGTACATCCCATCCCATCCAATCCCTATCCCCAACCCACCTACCCACCCATCTAACAAAGACATTGGTATAAACAGTCGCAGAAAGAGGCGTCGTCTTCTTCCGCTCCCAGCACAACCTAACCAACGACCTCCAAAAACAGCTCATCCTCCAAATGGGCCACCTCACCACCCGTCCCCCATCGCACGGCCTACACATCCACCCCGTAACCAACGACTCACGGGAATTCGGCGACCCCGATCCCCAAATCAGCACGATCAACTCCGAGGGCCGGAAGAAACTCTACAAGGGCTCAGATTACACCCGTATGGCGGCGGTCTGGCATAGCGATATTGCGTTTGAGAAGGCGCCGGCCGATTTCTCCAGTCTCAGGTTGACGCAGTTGCCTGTTACCGGGGGGGATACGTTGTGGGCTTCCGGGTATGAGGTCTATGATCGTATTAGTAAACCCTATAGGGCGTTTTTGGAGGGGTTGAGTGCGACGCATGTTGGGGAGGGGTTCAAGAGGATGGGGGTTAAGGTTTATGAGGGGGAGAGGGGCGCGCCGGTTAATGTGGGGGATGAGTTGGAGGCGGTGCATCCGGTATGGCCCTTTCTTAAGTCGCTGGGGTATGAGGGGTTTGGCTGATTGTTGGGATAGGTTGTTAGGACGAATCCGATTACAGGGTGGAAGTCGGTCTTCCCAATTGGTATGTTTATATTGATAGTGGGTGGGAGGGTGAAAGTGGTGTGTGCTAATATGAATAGGGGCCTTTCCGAGCAAGATCAACGAGTTGAATCGGCGAGAGAGTGCTAATATGCTGCAGTACTTTCATGATCTGATTACCTACGGTCATGATCTGCAGGTGCGGTTCAAGTGGAATGAGCCGAATGATATTGGTAAGTTGGATAGTCAGTGGTTGTAGGAAGCTGCTAACCAAATAGCCATCTGGGATAATCGCAGTGTGTTCCACACAGCCACCGGTGATCACGAAGGCTTCGGGCCTAGAAGTGGCAATCGCGCTGTTGGCGTGGGTGAGGTGCCTTACTTCGATCCCGAGAGTAAGTCGAGGAGGGAGGATCTGGGAATCGAGGATACGCTGTCTCCGGCTCATTTGTAGTTATTTTCATTACTATGTGGGGATTAGGTATCTTTTAGTTACTGTCTACTCCGGAGTAAACCAGTTTAGCCCATCAGACATGTCCATGCTCAATAGGTCGTTCGACCATATCTCCGGGAACATGTCGCCGAATGTATGCCAGAAGTCGGGTGTATCTGCTGTGGCAGATCCCTGTCCATATGGATCAGGCCCGGTTAGCCCTCCTGTAGGGGGCAACGGATACTGAAAGTCGAACCATCCAGCTGAGAATTGAGCGTCCCCAGTCGTTGCGTCGGTGTGTGCGCTTACACTCTCAGAATGTGGTGTGGGAATAACGTCCTCGGTATGAGAAGCACTTGGCATGGGATCGGCCTTTGCCGCATCATTGACATAATCCATCACGCGGTTGATGATCATCTCCAGCCCGTCTCGGTACTTCTTCAGACTAGGATTTCTCTCTGCCATAACGAATAGCGCAGAAGAACAGGCTCTCAGATCATTCGACACGGCTACTGTCCACAGTTGAGGGGCTCGGAAGAGACAAAGGCTTTTTCGTTATTCTAGCTTTATCGCAAGCTGGAAGGGGTCAAACTCACCAAATAGTCAATCCAGCCATATACAGCGAGTTAACGAGGAGAAATGAGTACCCAGATGAATCGCGCTGTCGCAGCCGCTTGAAACACTGACACATCTGCCCTGACGCATACAAGCATTTTTCAATCAGAGGATCGCCTCGCAGTAAGACTCCCACGAACCGCTGAATGAGCATCCGAATGGCATTGTTCCAATGCATATGGACAAAGTCGTCTTCTTCTGGTGCCATTGCCGGCAGCGATGCTTCGAATTCTCCTAAGGCAGCAAGCAGAGGAGTCGTCTCTGGGACAAGCGTTGCAATATTCCTGTCTGTCCGATAAATCCTGGTATGAATCTGTGACATGATGCGCTGCAACTGTGCCAAAGCGATAAATCTCCGAAGCTTCCTTCCACGCGCCGGCTCGCGCGGAGCCACTGAGCCCTGCAGAGCCTGCTCAACCAGCTCGTCGCTGATACACGAATCATCCAGATCCGCTGGTGCATGGACATCAATGTCCTCCTCGGGGACACTGAACGGCCGTCCCAATGACCAGGCCACGTATCGCTCAACCAGGTAAACAGACCAGAACAGCCGTCGGCGCATCTGCCCTTCATACGGTCGCATTTTTAGATACTGGGATTCGCGATGCAACCCTAGATCAATACAGATGCGCATGGCTAGACCTATCAGATACCATACCCTCGTGGCAGACGATGTTCGCATGTGATAGAGGACGAGTAACATGAGTGCTTCGATGTTCATGTAGGACTGCGACTCTCCGAGGACAGAGTCCAGCTGCAGTGCCATCGCTACAAACGCGCTCGGGGGCGTGGAGTCGTAAGTCTCGGTCATCTGTAGGATAGCTGCGCCAATGGCGTATACCATGAAGAGTTTGAACCGTGCAGCCTCGCTCGTATCATCTGGCTGGGACTTTCGTACGGTCGCATGCAGCTGCATCAGTTCCGCACGATCAAGGAACGGGAGACGGGTATGCATGTCTTTGAAGTAGGCATTGAGGAGGCGTAGAGCAACAGCCTCGGTCGGTAATGCGGTGCTGGCTGCGGTCCTCTCGCTATCCGGCGGAGGTTGGTGGTGACTGCCATTGATGGGGATGGATCTCAGCCAGACGGCGTTTTGCACCAGACGGCCCAAATCTTCTGCGATGGACATTCCTGATGAGGGTCCTAAATACGCCAAGTTGTCGCTCCCCTCATGGCTCATTGCCATTATCGAGACCACTCCAGCTCGGGAGTCATGCGGCTGTAGTTTTGCGCCCGTTGACAGCTGTTCTGCTGGCGCGTCTTCATCCGGGGGAATCTGTTCCAGTGCCGCGGATAATTGCGCTTCGAGCACTTCGATACGGTGCACCAATGCCCCCTTGGACATGGCATGATGCCAGGAGGGAACGGACTCGGATCTCAGACAGGGCTGTTTGGCGGAATCGCAGCCGGTACAGGTCGGATAACCGACGCATCGCTGCTTGCGTCGGTGGCAGCGTTTACATGACTTGGGGATGCGTTTACGAATCCTTCCTTCAGCGCTCATGACGGCAGGAGAAGGGTAGATTGAAGAAACTGAAAACGGGGAGCAGGGGATGATTAGCCATGCCTGGTATTTCCCCGCATCTTGAAATGATCGATGCCTCTGCCGAGGCGCCAATTCAATTAGTTACCGGGCTGGGCGTGGCGGTGATGAGGCGATGGTGCCGCCAACGCACGCCATCGCAATGGTGACGGTTTACTGGCCAACCATCTTGAGGCATTTGACACGGTCGGAGAGGTGACCGACAGGCAGTCAACGTGATGTTTCAAGAATGAGTCTGAATATATTCGCGGCTCCCAGAGCACTCTGTAGTAGTAAACTCTTCATCACCACTCGCAATTCTGGGGATTAGTGTATTCGCCAGAGAAAGCCAAGTAGATGATACTGGGTTAAGCTCTAGATAAATACGTTTACTTGTTTTGCATTGAAGGAAAATAGAGCAGTCGCAGGCCATACCTGCATTGTCAACGTCCGGGTCAAAGCAGTCGTCAACATGTACACAAAGCTTCGGCCAATAATTCATCCAAGGCAAGATGGCCGAGTGGTCTAAGGCGCTGCACTCAAGTGAATCTCGCTTGTCCAACTCAGTTGGATGTATTGCAGTCTCGAAAGAGGCGTGGGTTCGAGTCCCACTCTTGTCATATCTTTTTGTTTTCTTTTTTTTTCTCTTCTTGTTCTTCCCGTCCCTTGTGATCGCTCGGGAGTATAATGCATTGTTTTTGAAGGTGCATAATAACAGTCACAACAACAATGCCTTTGAGACAAGTTGGCATCTCTCAAGTATCACCCTAATTTGTCCGTCAATCTCGTGGCAGCCCTATCGGGATGACTGTGTGACAGTGCATGCATCTGTCAGTGCCACAAACCAAGTCCCCACATCAAGAATCGATAACAACATCATTAAGATTTTAACAGTAGCCATACTTACAACAAGAGTCTAGTACGCCTTGCATTTAATTGTAACGTGATTGACTTAAATCACTGGCCAGCTTCGAGATCCGTGGGGAAGTGGGCCGCCCGACCCAGACTTTCCGTCTCACTCAGCTCAACTACATCAGCGACTTAGTAGTTCCCCCCGCCCTTCATCATATCGGCTTATTTCTCTTTTCCATAAACCTCTCAGTCAATGTGGTTTCAGTAATGTCAACCGCCAGCTTTAAAGTCACCGAGCATATCATCCCGGCGTGTTATGTTCGGGAGTATGCAGGCAGTACCGTGGACCAAGAAGATGTCCTGCACCTCCACATCAAGCAATACACGCCTCGCCATCTACCCGATCCCGTCCCAGTCGATGCTGTCACCATCATTGCCGCTCACGCCGTGGGCTTCCCCAAGGTAAAATCCGGCATCTCAAACCATCAGACATGTAAGTCAGCTAATCAGGAATAGGAGCTCTACGAACCACTCTGGGACGAGCTTCTCGCACGATCCGCTCATTCCAACTTCCACATCCGCGGTATCTGGATAGCAGACGTTGCCAACATGGGCATGAGTGGAGTACTCAACGAAGATAAACTCAGCATGGACTGTGCGTGACTATGGGCCCATATTGCCCAGATTCCGAGACACCCTGCTGAAATGGTCATGTTCTAGGCTCATGGATGGACCATCCCCGCGATCTGCTCCTGATGATCAACCACTTCCGCGATCAGATGCACCGACCGCTAGTAGGAATAGGCCACAGCTTCGGCGGTACCATCATGTGCGTATCCACCCACTACCCTAGATTCATGGTTGCTGATCACTCTCAAGTACGAATCTGGCGCTGATGCACCCCCGTTTACTAACCTCAGTCATACTCTTTGACCCGGTAATTCAACGACTACCGCCCAAGATGGGCTTTGGCGCTGATCCGCCCGGTCCCGTCAACTTTGCCTTGTGGCGTGACGACGTTTGGCCAAATAGGGCCGCTGCTGCTGCAGGTTACAAGAAAGTATTCAAAAAATGGGATCCCCGTTGTCTCGAACTAATGGTGCAGTATGGGTTCCGGAATCTGCCCACGGCCCTGCATCCCGACCTGCCCGACGATGCAGACGCTGCCGATCCGCCTGTCACGCTGACCACGACTAAGTATCATGATGTGCTAGGTCAGATCCGGGAGCGCTTCCACGCTGGAATGACGGATGGCCAGGTTCAGTTGGATCGCTCAACCCATGCAGATGTGGACCCCTCTGTGGCTGTCCTTCCAGTGTATCGCCCCGAACCACCCAGTACATTCTATAAGTTGCCATCATTACGACCGTCGGCCCTCTTCTTGCTGGGGGAAGCGAGTTACTTGAATCTCAAGGATCTCCGGGAAGGAATCAAGAGCTGTGGTCAAGGGGTTGGGGGCAGCGGGGGGAAAGACAAGGTCAAGGAGGTTACCCTACCCAAGCAAGGCCACTTCTTCGCCTTTGAGGTGGTGGAAGAGACAGCCAGCCATTGCGCCAGCTGGTTAGATGAGATTATGCGCAGATACCGCGACACTGAGCGGGAGTGGAAGATAAAGAGACAGAAGATGGCTAAAGGGGTTCATTTGGTGCTGAATGAAGAATGGCGCAGAGTGATCAAGTCTCCCAGTTCATTCCGCGCGGCCAAGTCACGGAAAAGCAAACTATGAGATCTTAGTAGTCGTCTCATTCTGTCACCTTGCTATGGACTGAAGTAATAATACCATCCGTGCTTTTTAATCCGGAAATATACAAGGAGATTCCAAGCTTCAACAGATTCTGTGCTTGAATGTATCCAGCTTTGGGTCAAACAGTCTCTTCAGTACATTGAGTACTATTGCACAAGAAAGGAAGTGCAGAAGACGGAAGAAATTCTCTGCAGAGTAGACAGACACATGATAGACAGTAACAAAAAGCCCGGAGTATACCACCCTGAGTCCCCTGGGGTAGCAAGGTTGCTTGTGTTGCGCATAGATCCTGCTTTCCGAAGAGACTCTCCATCATCCTATAATCACACAACCACCGTTGTAACTATAATCATACACCAACCACACACATACCCCAACAACAACAGCACCCTCCCACAACTAACTAAAGTACCTCCCTGGGCAAAAACAACGGCATCGAATCCTCCCACATCGAGTTCGTCATCAACTTCTTATTCCCCCCATCCTTATCCATAATCATAATCTGCCCATACGGCTGGAACGTATCATCATACAAGGCACACTCGAACCGGAATCCATACATTCCCGTCGACCACATAATCCGTCCATCCTGCGACCACACCGCATGTGCATCGTTGGCACCACTGCTCGTCAACACGCGCAGATCTGTCCCGTCCGGTCGAATGGTGCACACGTCATAGTTGTACGTGCTAGTCTTGCGCGTGAAAAGGATGAGCTCCCCGTCGGGAGAGAACTGGGGTAGGTTATCCCATTCAGTCGTCAGCACGGTTGTATTCCGCGTCTCGAGATCCAATACCCGCAACCCGATCTCGCTGGCATTGCCGTATGTCGCAGTGTCGGCTCCCCACACCCGATACACTACCTTCTTGCCGTCCGGCGAGAAGCTCGGGAATCCGTTGTTCAGGGCCCCGTTCTCGGTGATGGAGTAGCTGCTGTTCACGAGTACCTCGGAGTAGCTCCCGTTGGCGGTGGCCCGAACGATCCATCCGCCGGAGGCTTCTCGAGTCTCGAACCAGAATCCCACGCCGAAGACGAGCCACTCGCCGCATGGGGACCAGCTGGGCTGGTAGGCGCTCATACCTGTGGTTTCGTTGTCGCTGACGAAGTCTGCCGTGCTGGGGTCGTAGACCAGTTGCAGGTCAGCGCCAGTCGTGTTTAGCGTGACGATGGACGAGTTGCCCAGCTGCTTCTGCGTGATGGCGATGCGCTCCTGGTGCGAGATCTGAGGGAAGACGTCCGTGAATCGGTAGTCCCAGTCGCTGTCCCAGCTGTAGAGCTTCTTGTATCCCGTACGGATGCTCCAGGTAGTCTTTTCGTAGACTACTTGCTTGCCGTCGGGAGACCATGCCGGGGATCGGAGGGTTGCTGAGGTCGTGTTGACATACAGTCCTGCCGTGGTGTAGAAGCCCTCGCTGGTGCCGCCCTTGAGGGTGTAGGCGATGGTGCCGTTCTTGTCCAGGTACTGGGGGAATTGCTTGACTCCCGAGCCGGCGACTTCAACACGCACATCGGTGCCGGTAGCGAAGTCGACTGACATGATGGTTGAGTTGGCCGTGGTGATGGTTTCTGGACGGTGGGCGTTGTAGGTGTCTTCACGGGTCATCTCGTAGTAGACGATGCGTTTACCGTCGGCGGACCACTTGGGAGATCCCAGTGAGTAGTATGGCTTGGAGACGATCTGGCGGAAGTCGGAGCCATTGGGGCGAATGACATAAAGGGAGAGTTCCTGAGTTGTCTCCCAGCCCGTGCGGCCGAGGAAGGTCGGCTCGCCGTGTCCGTCCCATTGGGTGTTGCGGTCCGAAGAGAAGGCAATCCATTCGCCATCGGGAGACCAGGCAGGACGGAGGTAGCTCTCCATGAGGGAGGAGTTGGCGGCAGTGGTGGGCGTGTTGGTGAGGTTCCACTGCACGCCGGTCTGCAGGTCGAGGACCCAGATGTTTGCCTTCATGTTGTTGGCGGTAGAGACGTAGGCTGCCAGACGACCGTTGGGAGAAATCACGACGGAGTCTTCCACTGCTGGCGTGGCGACCAGCTCCTGCAGATCAGAGCCGTTGGTCCGCACCCGGTAGATGTCAGAGTTACCGTCGCCATTGCGCTCGCTGGTGAAAGTAATCCATTCTCCGTCGGGAGAGAAGGAGGCGTGGTACTCGAAGACTGGGTCGGAGAGGAGTGGGCGCTCATTGCTGCCGTCCGTGTTGGCAATGTATAGTTCAGAGGTGCCAGGAGCAATGCGGTTCATCATGAACACGCCCTTCTTGCCGACGGCTGGGGTAGTAGAGGAGGTAGGAACAGTTGAGGGGCTGCTCTTTGATGCCACCAACCCTCGGGACATGTGAGCGTGTGCCTTCACCATATCATCAATATCCATATTCGCAGTGTGTGCGAAGGGACAGCCTCCAAGTGCCGGCACAGCGGCCAGGCCAAGAAGAGGGAGGAGGGAGCAGCGCATGGTTGCGGAGGACTGCCGGATACTCTGAGTCTCTTTGAATGAGCGACGCCTGAGCGGAGAACTGACGAGCGAGAAGACGGTGGTATTTATGCACTCCGACCTGCAGCAAAAGCGCTATTGCCCCGCGTCTGAGGTAGAATTGCTGAACATTGCTAAGCGTGGAGCCCTGCTCTGTAAACTCCACTTGTGCGTCCCTTTCCTACAAGACTGGGGAGGGTACCGGCTAAATCATGAACCCGGTCGATATTGACATAGTCATGGTGATGTGGGACAGGTGGAATCCGTGCACACTCCTTCTACTTGATTACAAGCGAGCCCTGCGCGGACTGGTTCCAGTGCAGCCCAACACGTAGTATCTGTTTGCCTCTGCCGGGTAACAGAGTGATAGGGTCCGACCGGGGCGAGTATGCAGAAGCAACATGATATTGCTTCGCTATACATCTGCTGAAACTCCGGATCAGCTGCCGACTTACAGCTCCGCTGGGCATGATGTGGATGGAATACACGGCCGGATGTTGGCGGACACTGAGTATCAGACGGGTGCTGTACATCCACCTGCCAAGAGTCCAATGATTTGAGGCATGAATAATGACGCGGCCGGAGAATTCTCTCCGACGTCCGTTGTCCGACGACGGTCTGCACTAGATAAGATGAAGTAGTATTGTGTTCGCATCCATTGGCGCGGAAATTCAGGGCTGAATCCACAGCACAGAAGGGCAATCCGACTAGTGACCCTTATTTCGGCCATAATTAAGGTACAGGAACAGCATCAAGATTCTGTTGCTTAACTTGGGCAGATATGAAGGGAATTGGAGACCTCAACACCCAGACATATCGTTGAATAACTCATGTTTATCCTCTTTGGTATGTTCCTGCAACCAGCGATAATCCCACAGACGTGAAGTGAACAGTGCAGGTGTTCTTGGCGCGCAGTACCCTGGAGGGTTAAGATCTGCGTTTCCCGTCGGGGCAGATCAACTTGGCTGCCTCCGATGTCCGACGTCTCCACTGTGAGAGTCAGGTCCACGACCTTATTGCTCGGATGTTATTCGATGGCGACGAAAATCTGCCCTGTTAGAGATCATGTCCTGACGACGACAACCAAGCGAGGTGTCCACTTTTGCTCTGGGAAGTTGTCCTCAGTTGTGAATCCTGCCACATGTGCATATCCGGTACCGAGAATTAATCTAATCAGATAACCCGCATCTGATAACAGGATTTGCTTTTGTGAGATGTTGGCGGTGGATTGTGAAATTGATCAAGGATTTAAGTATATCTAGCTTCAGCGCACAATAATGAGAGAAGGACATGAACCCGCAGTCACAAGATGGGCAGATCTGACATATACCTCGGGCAAAGATTGGATGGATGGATATAAGACTGGATAACACTTTTCTGTCTTACGCTAACTGGTTTAGCAGTCGGTAAGAGGGACTAAAGATATAGCCGGGTAATTTGAGTGGTATTAGGCTCTTTATTTTTGTTCATTGGCACAAATTATACGTGGGGACCTTTTACATCCGGCGATTCGTATCTATACAAAGGTCTAAGCACTTCGCCGTCCCATGGCCTTCACCTCGCTATTCGTCAAAGAGTTGGTCACCACCTCTATCGACGTCCGCTTAACAATAGCCATGCTCAGCTGTGGCCACAATTTGGACTCGCTGTCCCTCGAATTAATCGGGCGGTCTTCCAGATCGAGCCTAGTATCGAACAGGGTATCCCCCCAGACCGGCCGTGCGCTCTTCTTGGCGGTCAACGTATGCAGCGGGAAAGAGCGGGATCTCGATCGGGAGTATTCCTTGTTCCAGAATCCGGGACGAAGGAGGGGTCTCACGGAGGGTGCTGCGGCAGCGATGACTCCAATGGAGGATTCTAGGCTGTGAGATGGTCAGCATTACAAAGTGTAAGTGGTAAGGAGCTCGCTTACAATGCACACATGTAGAGATTTACGTAGTCCCCTAGTCCCATGTTAGGATTATTATGACAAGAGTTGAATCGGAAGGTATTCACGTACATGTAGGATCTGAAGACTCAGTCAAGGTAGAAACGTACATTGTTCGCGCAAGTGCAAACCCCGCACTCCTATTATGCGAAGTCAGCATACTATCCGGCCTTAGCAACGAATAGACTCACGCAAACCCCAGTGCCATGAGCCCGCATATGGCTGCCTTCACTTTGATCGGGATCTTAACCTTCCATAGAAACACGATGGGTAGGATGGATAGCACGATGTCTGTTCCGGCAGCGATTGCTACACTGACGTCTTAGCCGGTGATTCAGAGAATTATCAGAGGGTTTCTCACTTCCTTGTGCAATGGCCGCCCCGTTGATTGCCGACTTGGGCCAACATGTTCCATCAACTCGCTTATCCCATGTTCGCGCTACCGGATCACACTGAGGGAGGACAATCGCGGCATCAAGAAGACTCGTGATCGTGTTGAAGGCAATAAAGCACCAGAAGAATATCTTCCACACTCTGGTCGTAAGACTAAACGCCTTGTCAGTTAATGTGCAGTTGAGCGACTGTCGGGTCTGACGTACAACAGCCTCATCAAGAGAAGGCTGATGGAGATCTTCAGGAAGATGGTCGAGAACAGCAACGGAAAGAGGCACATCCGCATGAGCTTGATGCAATAGACGGCACGGTCGACGTCGAGAGTGTCATAATGGCGGCCTAGTCCGTACGGGACTGCAGCGAGGATCAAGGCCATAGCGACGAGGGTGGTCAACTGAGTCAAAGGGCATCAGTGAAAGCGTTGAACAGTCCTACCAGCGCAGCCCTTACCGTCGCAAGGAGGTTGAACCAGTCATCCCAGGACAGTGTCCTCATGACAAACTTTCGAACGTACAGCCGCAGCAGGGTGAGTACCACGGCAATGACCGTGGTCACTATGGTCGGGACTACGACGACTGATGCCTGGGAGGCATTGTCGTCAACCGCCCGTATCCAGGGCAGCATGATGCATCTGACCGAACCGCACCGCTGAGTGGTAGAAGAAACAATCCAACGCAGTCATCCGTATTCTGTGAAGGGACCGACGAGTCCCCGGGGTAGGCTCCAGCAAAAGACTTTGTACCCCAGGACAGACCAGAGTAAAAAATCTCTGATCCTGGCAGGCGTGCGTAAGGCCATCAGGGGATAGCCAGCTAAGTCAACCTAATCGGCCTGTCTATGCCCGGAAGGGAAAAAGATCGTGGATCTCAGTCCGTCCAGACCAAGGTCGAAGGAAGTTATGCGCATGAACCTGGTCCGTGGGTGCAGCCGGACACGCCCGAGATCTCTTGATGTCTTGTTCAGGGTGGATCGGAAGTGTGCCAATGAGGATGGAGGAGGGCGGGATGAATTACAGCTGGCACAGTCATTCATCTATTGATGCTCCACGGAAGGCTCCACACACGCGACCTGTCGTGTGCTCCTGGTCCATGACTTGACATAGTTTACGGGGAGTAGTTGGGATGGGGTACCCTGAATCTCCTCAATTTTGCGATAAACATCGTTGGTAGTGTAAGTTGTAGCACATAGATGGCGATCACAGTGACTAGAGTGTGCAATGTGTGAATTTGGAATAGAGGGTTAAGCATTGAGACCGGGAATGTGTGGGGGAGCTGAACGGACTGAACTGGAGTCAATTCAAGTCGAACACGGGAAGAGATGCAAGCACGGGCCCGGAGATATCGCGGGGAAACCGGCCGACACAAAAGAGTAGGGCATCTGCCAGGCACGAGAGGACTCCATGCCTCGATACTACTACTAGTCTGGATCAACGGCTGTCAGACTCTATTTTCAATTGGTTAGTGACAGCCCTCCAATCAATCGCATTGTCGTAAAATCACGCATCATGAATTTTTCGGAAACCAAGCAAGGAGTCATCATTTGGGGCTGGCTGATCGGGAATGACCGCGACACGTCGATTTCCCCTCAATCTAAGCAGGCCACTAGTTGTCTTAGTCTATTCTTGGTGACATTGGCAGGATTCTTTGACATGGGATCACGCCACTCACATCGCATCCATATGGGACATCCCTGCCTACTTCGCTTCCTGAACGCTTTGTTCGTGGTGATCCAAATTATTAATGGCCATCCTCTCAGGGGCACCGCGGCTCACTTCCCTGTCGTCGCCGCATTGATAACCATCTATTTCTAATCTTCCCTTAAGATGCCTCATGGCTCGTCCTTCACCCATGTCAAACTAGTTCTGGACCTGAACGAGGTACTGGGAGTGGGAGAAGCCATACCCCGAACGCGACAGACAGAAAAAGCAAGAGAGTGGGGAGTGCGAGCCGAGGGTTAGTCTAGTTGAGGGCACTATTTTCTTATCCCCGCCCGAACCAAAGTTGCTGCCCATCAAATCACAATGGGCCCACCCCGACCGTTTACCGTCACCATCATCGGTGGAGGCATCGGTGGTCTCGTTCTCGCGGTCGGTCTGCTACGACGTCAGGTTCCCGTCCAGATTTATGAGGCCGCCGCTGCCTTTACAGAAATAGGCCTAGGGCTGTCCATTGGTCCAGCAGCTCACCGGGCTATGCCCCTCATCGACCCGGAGATTCGAGCCATCTACGACGCTCTTGTCACAACCCACGCGGATAGCCCCGGCTATGAACAATACAAACAGACATGGTTCGAACTCGTCTGGGCCACTGGCAACCACGAAGGCGAAACACTAATGAACCTAAAGGCCTTGCCATCGGGACAGACGACGTTGCGACGTGCGGACTTCCTCGCCGCCCTCGTGGCTCTGGTCCCTCCGGAAATCGTTCATTTTGGCAAACGGCTGAAAAAACTGACGGAAACAACAGACCGGGTCCGGCTACAATTTGAAGATGGTACAATCGCCATGGCTGATGTGGTGGTAGGATGTGATGGGATAAAATCCAAGGTCAAGGAATCAATGCTACCAGAAGAGTCTGCTGCCAAACAACCTCACTATAGTGGCATGTATGCCTACCGGGCCGTCTTCGACATGGATGAGATGGTGACGGCCGTCGGTGATCAACGCGCCCGCGTATCCACCATGTATCTCGGAAAGGGCGCCTATGCTATCTCCTATCCCATCATGCGTGCCAAAAAGGTGAATTTTGGGCTCTACATCTTGAGTGAGACCTGGGATCATGAGGCATGGGTTCGACCAGCAAGTAAAGAAGATATGCGACGAGATGCTCAGGGTATGGGTAGATATGTGCAGGCTCTCGTTGAGGTACGTCAATGATATTCCCCGAGGACGCGTACGCTAACTGCTACCAGCGCATGCCTGACCCTTCGCAGTGGGCCATCTTTGAGCATCCCCATTTGTCGACGTACACGAAATCTCGCGTGGCCATCTTAGGTGATGCGGCTCATGCCTCTACGCCACATCAAGGTGCAGGTGCCGGTCAGGCCATCGAGGATGCCCACGTCCTGGCAGAGCTCTTGAGCGACCCGCGAGTTAACAGCGTAGATGCCGTCGTGGAAGCATTCAGAGCTTATGATCAAGTCCGTCGACCGCGAAGTCAGCATGTGGTCACTACGAGTAAGGAGAATGCGTATCTACTGTGCTTGTGTTTGGATGGTGTGGGGGATAATGAGGTAAAACTACGTGAGACATTCCAGCAACGATTGCGATGGCTCTGGGATTTAGATGTACAGGAACAGGCCGAACAAGCAAGGAGGAAGATGTTTAGTAGTGAGTGTAAGCTTTAGCAAGTTTTGATACCCAATGACTATTAGCCTGTACCGTATTGGTCAATTTTCCTTTCTTTCCTTCATTTCGGCTCATTAAGAGTACCATTCATTTGTCCCTATCCTCAAACCAAGATCGGAGGTCATTAGTCACACCGTAGCAAGCTCCATTGTAGCAAGATGTGGTAGCTTTACAATGTTATGGGGTTTGTGCTTGCACATCAAGATCTGTTCCTGCTGCCTTGGCCTGAGTAAGATATGTTGAGAAAATGAGATTATTGGGACTATACGAAACACGTATGGGCGACTTTGGCTTAAGGCACAGTGCATTCGTAGGTGTAATAATAAACATTTATGAATTTGAGATTACCACGCAATAATACTGACAGAAAACCTTCAATTACAGCGCATTAACCATCCACATAAGTTAACCTCTTTTAATTATCCGCCGAATAGCATCCACCAGTTCCGTCCGACCACGATACATACGGTCCGGAGATGGGGAGTTACCCGACTCTTTCGCAATGATTCCTCCCGGCAAGAAACTCCGAGTCATCTCTACAAACGGACCGACCGAAGCTTCAGGTAAGAATTGGCCGAAGAATGCGGGCAAATCTGCTTTTTCAACGGGTTTGAGTTCGACTGCGTGTCCGGCCACATCTTGGAATGCTTTCTGTACGTCCTTCGCCGTGTATTCGCGTGGACCGTGAACCTCCACGACATATGGACTCTTGGGGTGATCCATGGCCATTATATAGGTGGCGCATGCCTTTCCGATATCGGCAACGGAAACCTTGCAAAGAGATCCAGTCACTAATCCCATAGTTATCCAATTCACATCAGCAGAAGGCTAATCTCACCATGGGTATTTCATAATCCAGCGGAGTGATGGCCGAGGACAGATGTGGATGTTTTGACTGGACAGTTTCCATGGCTGGCGCCCAGTTCTCCATAAAGTAGGCACATCGCATGAAGACTACCTCGGGCACGACATCCTTGAGAATCTCTTCCGCGACGTGGTTCGTCATGATTTCTCCCTAGGTGAGTTTAATAAATCTCCGTACCTGTTCATATAAAACACGGTGTGGAGTCAGACGCACAGTTCCCTCTGGCTGTTCGGCCCCCATACTGGAGAGGAGCACCAAGCGTTTCACCGTCCCGGCCTTCTGGATTGCTGCGCGGGTATTTTCCGAGGCCTGGCGGGCCCACTGCATCATGTCGGTGCCATCGTAGCGCGGTGGTGTGATGGCAAAGACGGTATCAGCATTTCCAAGGTCTAGGCTGGCTGCATTGCTGAGATCGCCTGCGACCGCGTGGAAGCTACCATGTGCGATAAACTCAGCGGGGGCTTTGGCAGGATCGCGGTAGATGGCGCGCACGTGGACTGGAGCAGTTAACTGGTCTGCCTCCAGAAGAGCCCGGATGGTCTCTTGAGCGGATTTGGGTGATGCGGGAAGAACAGCAACAAGCATTTTGTCGGGAGTAGCTACGTGCTCTATAGCAGCTGAGCTTTATGGGGTAGTGGTGCGTTGTTCGGTGCTTCATGAGATCGACGGCGTCAGTCGAAGTGGAGATTGAGTCGGGAGCGGGGAAGAGGGTGTTCCTTGGTTGACCCCGAACTCTCTTCTTGAACTCTACTTTCAGGGCCATCGATCAGGCCTTGTAGATGATCGATATGTGTTGAGGTTGGCGATCATGGAGTGCCAACTTTTGGACTCTCAAACGGCGAACATTAGGGGTGCACACCATGGCGCTATTCTAGTGCAAAGCAGGGATGCTATACAAACAAAGAAAAACACGGCCGGCTACTTTAGATTTAATGATCGCCTCTATACTAGTGCCGCTCATTGGTGGGTTCGACTAGTAATATCATCCATCTCGTTGAGCGACAATGAATGAGTGGGTCACTTGCTGCCCGTCTCATGCCGGAGATGCACGCCTAAGCGGACGGTAAGTACCAGTCAGTCTCAGCCTCGCATCTACACAAGTTTCACCGGTCGATTGGTATATATAGGGACGTAGGGGGCGTCCTCCCTAGAATTAATTCATCCAGTCTGTCCTTCTTACCCCTGCCAGCGGTCGTCACTGTGGAGATTCACACACTTGAAAGGTGCCTTCACTATTCTTGTCTTCACAGTGTCTTAAGCCCGCCTACGCCTATAAGAAGGGCTTTGATCTGGATTATTTCTTGTTTGAAGATCATCAAACCATCAGGATAGTCGGAACGAACTAACATATCACAACATGGACACACCATGGACCCAGCTGGGTGTCTTTAGCACCTTGGCCGGGGTGCTACTGGCTTTTATAACTCGCTCGGGCGAAATCGAGAAACACCTGTCGAGGTTGTTTGGCATCTTCACTCTTGCCCACATTGCCCTGATTTCCCTGGCTCCAGCCTTGTTAGGCGCCACCTTAAGCACATCTGAGATCGTCCTTCGAGTATTGTTCCTGGATGGCGCGCTGTTCACAGGCCTGTTCGGGAATATCCTCATGTACCGCCTCTTCTTCCACCGACTGCGCAACGTGCCGGGCCCGATCGCAGCCCGTGTTTCACGTCACTACGCTGCCTACCATACCGTCAAGGATGCGCAGATGCACTATACTATCCAGCGTCTGCACCAGCAGTATGGTGATGTCGTTCGCATTGGTAACTTAGACCCCCCACAATCTTGCTTCAAGCCCCCTCCACTGACACTCTTAATAGGCCCCCGCGAGGTTTCCGTTTGTCGCGCCTCGGCCATTCAAGCCATCTATGGGCCTCCTAGCCGATGTATTAAGGGACCCTGGTACGATCAGGTCACTTATGAGAACGACAAGAAGACATTGTTTGCCATCCGCGACCTCAAGGTGCACAGTAAGCGGCGTCGACAGTGGGATCAAGCAGCTAAAGGTGCGATTCTGACCAAATTCTTCCTCTCGATCGCGGTGCCACCAGACCACTAACAGAAGTGTGTGGCGCCAGGTATCCAATACTATCATAATTCCGTGCAGGAGCAAAGCAAAATCCTGATAGAGAAGATCCGGGAGCGCCAAGGGCAGCCCATGGACGTTACTAACTGGATCAACTGTTACGCATTCGATGTCATGGGACACGTTGTCCTGGGAGCGGAGCTGGGGATGCTGAAGACCGGAAAGAGGATCCCTGAGCTGCAAATTATCGACGAGGGCCAGCGATACGTTGCAGTGGCCGGCACTATGCCGTGGATCCCGCCACTCCTGTTGAGGATTCCCGGTCTGTCCGCGACCCTCAATCCGTTCCGGCATCGCTGTCATGAATTGTTTGAGACGAGGCGTGCGGTATATCTTCCATCCGCTTCTGTAGAAATATCACTGTCTGGCTGTGCTAATGCATCTCTAGTCTAGAGCCAAGTCGAGTGAGCCCAAAGACATCATTAGCTGGTTGATCCAAGGCCAGGAGAATGGTGATCCTAGCGCGCCACCCACGGATCAAGCAATCAAGGATGATGCCTGGTTCATTATGGCGGCTGGCAGGTAAGGTTGGCCCTGAGGAGCCTTACGCTTGGTAATTCCTAGACGAATAGAAACAGGCTGACGAAAGATAATCGGATCTTGTAGCGACACGACGGCATCTGCGTTAATCAATGCGATCTACTACCTCGCGACGCATCCGGGCGCGCAGGTCCAGCTCCAGCGCGAGATCGACGAGAGAGTGCCCGAGGGAATAGAGGACTTGCCATATGAAAAGGTGAAGGATCTCCCGTACCTGACAGCGGTGATCAACGAGATACTGCGGTTGAAGCCATCGGTGCTGGATGGTCTAGTGCGCGTCACTCCGCCGCAGGGACTGCAGGTGGACAAGGATCTCCACTTACCGGGGGATGTGATAGTGTCCGTGCCGACCTTTGCCATCCAACGTGATGAGCGCTATTGGGAGGATGCTGACCAGTTTCGTCCTGAACGGTGGGCGTCGATTAAAAATCTGGCCGATGTGCCGTTCATTCCGTTTTCACGAGGTGAGTCTGTCAACCCAGATCTTCAGTGATTTTGTCAACTAAGATGCTTCTCTGCATAGGCTCGTATGACTGCGTAGGTAAGAGTATTGCCTGGATGGAGATGCGCATGGCTTTGGCGATGATCGTGGGAGAATATCACATCCAGCTAGCCGATGAGCAGCGGGCCTTTGATGGCAAGGAACTGGATAACTTCGCCATGTCTGTACCAACCTTGTGGGCCACCTTCCGACCCCGTCGGCCCTCATCTTAGTCCATCAGTTAGTAGTTGTTTAAATTGGAAATTTTGTCATCAATCAATCTTTTGTAAGCACATGCAAAGAATTTTGTTTATATGCCGGAATGATTCCGCGGTGGTGGGGAACCCGAGATGACGTGCCAGACTTGCATCTCGATGCAACTATCCCCGACCTTCCCCTCCTTCCCCTCGGTCGCATTCACCACCATCGCTTTATCTTCATTTCCTTTGGCTTGAATCTCACTAAGGGCATCTCACCTCATCCTTCCAACATGACTCTCAAGCTATACGGCTTCGTTCACTCCACCTGCACCCGTCGCGTGCGCACTGCCCTGGCCGAGAAAGGGCTGGACGTTGAAATCGTCCCCATCGACCTGGCCAAGGGCGAACAGAGGACCTCCTCTTATCTGAACGATCTCCAGCCATTTGGCAAGGTACCTGTGCTGCAGGATACAGAAACAGACATCCAGATCTACGGTTGGTGTTGCGATAAACAATCTCCAGATATACCCTAATAACACTACCTCTGTGAACAGAGAGTCGAGCCATCACTCAATACATCGCTACCAAGTACCGCGGCCAGGGCACCGAGTTAGCCCCTCCTGAATCGGATCTAAAGGCCTTTGCCTATTATCAGCAGGTACATATCCCTATTCCTCAAATCCATCACAAGTTCTGTGAGACCAATGAAGCTAATGGGATAGGCCCTCTCCATCGAACAATCCTACTTCGACCCCCTTGCGTCCCAAATCGCCTACGAAAAGGTCTTCAAGGCCCGCAAAGGTCACGGCCAGACCGATGAAGCCCGTGTCCAATCCCTCTTTTCCCAGCTCGAACTCACTCTCGAAGGTTACGAGCGGGTCCTGTCCAAGCAGCCTTATCTGGCCGGGCAGCAACTCACACTGGCGGACTTGTCTCACTTGCCGTATGGGGTTTTTATTGAACCATTCGGGTTCACGGAGCTGGTGAGCAAGTTCCCTCATGTGCAGAAGTGGTGGGAGGGGTTGAAGGCTAGGGAGAGCTGGAAGAAGGTCACTGCGTAGAGTGGGTATAAATCTAAAAAGGGATTTCAGTAGTAGATAACAGGTAAATTGTTAATGAAATCTGCTGCGAAGTACCGGCTATTCCATACATTTGTAAATCCGGGATTTCCGATAACCCTGGAAATATTCCGGGATTCATGCATGTCGACGTGTCCATCAATACCACCAATCACCACCCCATTAAGTCAGGGACTTCGAGTACGTTCTGAACAGTCGACCGATATGATCACACTGCACAGACAGAGCGACTTGTGCCCAGAGAAATGCTAGGAAGGGGGAAATTAGCAATTCGTGCAATAACATTCTTAGTATGAGCATGGTGTTGAATCAACTAAACTTATTTAGCTCTCGTTGGTAAGCATACATGCCGTGGAGCTTTAGGTTTCGCCTACGGAATGAGCTTCAACCTCCTTCAGGAACCATGAAGCTTCTCTCGTGATACTGCCTACAATGGGAACATTCCTCCGCTGGTACTTGGAATGTATACTCTAGTTGCAGAGCAACGTTGACTGTCTCGAATACTTGACCCTCAATAAGAAGTAAACAAACATCGCGGTTCGTCCAAGATCATTCGGTGCATTCCGCACTGTCATTCAGTAGTAAGTCTCTACAGCACACAATGGTTATGAACATAACGCATGGCCTACAATCTCTGCCCATGGCACGTATGATGCTCTCTCCTAGATACACCAATCAACGTATCATATAACATTTCAAAGCGTCGTTACTAAAGTACAAGATGGCAAAGAATAAAACACCCAGTGTCTCACAGCCTAGTAAATGGCCAAATCGTCCCCAAGACCAGCTCAAGAGAAGCTTTCCTAGACCTCGTACTCACGCTGCAACCAAGCAGACTCAGGCCGACTCGAGCAAGCATCATCAGTGGCGCAGGTGGCAGTATCATAACCAGCATATTCGTAAAAGATGTTCGTCTTGTCTTCAATGTCCGAGTCGTCCAAGTTGACATCCATGTCCTGGATCGGATACCCGTAGTATCCGGTCAGATCAGCATCGCTGTCGGACTGCTGCAATGCATTGTCGACAAAGTATCCGGTGGCGTAGTGGTCACTGTGGTCTCCATCGCCAAAGTCGTTGACATAGTCACCCGTCTTGACCTCGTCGGGGTCAAAGTCGTCAATCAGAGCGGCGATGGTTTCCAGCAGCTCATCTTTCGTGTATTCAACTCCCGAGCCATCAATGGTCCGGATCACGTCAATGTCGCCGTCCCACAGCTTCTGCAAACTGTCGTTCTGGTCGGTGCCGCCGAAGCCGGTTCCGTCCATGTTGCCGTCGGGCAAGTGCATAAATGCCAGGGAGATGTCATCGTCGTCTTGCAGCGTGTAGAGGGTGATGGTCTTGTCTCCGACGTAGATCACGTCTTCGTCCCAGTTGTTACTCGCCACTGCCATGCGCGCATAGGCTGCCCGCGAGCCAGCCTCACGGCTGCTCCAGTAGTCAGATCCCATTCCAGCGTCTCCTGCAGTCAGGAACACGGTACGAAGCGGCTCGCCGGAAAGAATGTCTCGGATCAGGTCCGGACTCAGGAAGAGGAGGTCGTCATCCTCGTGTGCAACGAAGTTGAGGGTCTTGGCCGATGAGAGAGTGAATGAGCCAAGAGCGGCTAGTGTGCTCCAGATACTGTAAGTCTTCATCATGAGGTTCGTGACTAACGTGAAAGATAATTGATTGTGTATAGAGGTAGAGTGAGATTCGATAATTTCAATAAATCCGTGAGGACAGCACAGGAAGCCCTGTTTATACCTCGACTTCTAATTACTTCAAACACATACAAACACATCAAGGAACGGGGCACTTTATGGCTTACATTCCTCGCCAGTAATTAGTCCTATGTCGCCATCCCTTGCTTTGGCAATTTTGGTGACGCCAGACTATTGATCATGGCTTTGGCAAAGCCTGGTGACCTCCGAGGCTCTGCTGTGCTTCACGACATTGTCAGCTACTCGTGTCTAGACTTACTGTTCATGGCTGTGATCAACACATCAAGCCATTGACTTCGATAGTGCGGGATAAACGATGGAAGATCCTGGTCGCTTTGAAGTATACTCGCATTCCATACCACGAGTCGGCTGTGCTCGATCGTAAACACGCTGCGGATCCGCGCGTGAAGATGCTTGCCATGAAGACGCGAAGCTTAGCCTTTCTGCTTCGTACCAAGGCCCGCTTTCTTGAAGAATTTACACCAGGGCCCATAGAGCCGGCTCTGATCCTGTGCCTCATCTACGGTGTAGCCCAGCTGTGTTCCTGAGCGATCGGTAGTCGGGGCTCGCCGGTCTTTCCCAGCATCAAGCCCTTCAACAATTCGGTTTCCGTGTGTTGTATTTTTTTTCAGCAATGCTGAGATGGGCAATGACTGACCTCTGCTACGGCATTGTGTTTGGGGATCATGTGCCTGTCATCAGGCGCAATGCCTCCCCGGCAATGAAGGAAGTATGCGTGGTGATCTACTAGGGGAATGAAGAAATGCCGAGATCTTGAGAGAAGGTAGCAGCGGCCTGGGTCACGTTCATAGGTGGTGAGAAGCCTACATGCTCTCCAAAAATCGCCTTCCAGGACATCAGGATCCAGCATATAGCAGGCAAGGTTCTGGAGTTGGCTCCAATGTTCTTCGTCTAGCCTTCGCCATGAGAGCTTGTAACAGCGATCTTCCTCCGAAGATAGAACGTATCCTCGGAAGGGGTAGACCTAGGCCTGCAAATTAATGTCCCATACTGGATGGTGGATGTAGCGTTCCTCATCAACGTGAACTCTTGAGGCAAGATATGGCCAGATCAGTAGGTATGACGACAGAAGATTGGTGCCGTGAATCCGTGATTGAGTGACTGCAGTCGTGGTAAAGAAGCGGCGATGATTGTCTTGGTGAAAAAGTATGTTGGTATAAAATTGAAGGGAAGATGTGTTGGAGCCAGCACTTTCTTCAGTATCCCATTAGCTACTAGTCTCATAAGCTAGTGACCTTACTGGATCAATACCACGCGCAAGCTACTACGGGCCGTAATCAGTTCGTGATATGTGTTTGTAAAAGAGGTATGCTATATTTTAAATCCTAAGATAAACGGCTGTTTATAGGAACTTGTTATGTCTGATGGAAGTCGTGAGATACCTCAATAGGTCACATATAGATGTATATATATCCCGAGACTACTACTAGTGCTCACAAAAGACACTGACATCATACTATTCAATCAACGAGAAACACTATTAGGAATGATCATACAACCCGTATGCAGGTAACAGATACAGTATGCTATAGTTTGAGTTCCCAAGAGTATAGCCCATCTCCAGGCCACTGACTCTTCTACTTCATGGGAGAAATGTTGATGTGTTTCCTATTCGGGTGTTCATGACTAAGTAGGACAGGATGCAATGATGTCATGGCTTGAGAGGACTAGTGTGTAATGGTCACGTGATATTACAGTATCTGATGGTCGGGTTGGCAGTGAAATCCAGCACTAACTGGATAGCTGCAACCAGGCTAATCAGACCTCAGTCTCCTGAAAAGGATATGGAAAACGAGTCCAAGCTATGAATTGAAACGGCTGTTTGCTTGTTATACGAGTAAACACTGTATGTTTCTGACCGTGTCTACATTACAATATAGATATTCGACATGCGCCAGTCTCGAAAGTCAATTGAAGTTGATATAATAGCGTAAACTTTAAGTAGTGCAGACAATTACCCACAGTATCCCATAGAACCCGCTCCAAGTGATCAACCTATATATAAATATTCCACGCAGCTGCTTAGGCCGTCAGGGACACCTTCTGCCCCCAATACTGACACTCCTCAAGCGATGGCTGATGAATTACCCTCTCGAAAATCCAGAGACCCACGTCACGACGACTAATACAATAGCCGACCGCGGGGTTCTCGTCGGTGCCGGTCCTGATCTTCGACAGACCATCGCCATCGCCGTTCGTTAACAAGGTGGGCCGTACGAAGAGATACCCGTCGATGGCGCGTTCCTCCTCCGGCTTTTGCATCTCGGCCACAACAAGATCCTCCATCACCTTCTTATCCGCGCGTGGTACCTTGAGCACCCAATGGTACAGGGGCAGCAACATGAGTGGCACGTCGCGCATGTCGCTGAGGCCGATGGTGCTGATGATCACGATGCGGGGCTTCCGGGGACACGATCGAGCGGCAGACATGATGGCCTTGATCCCATCTTGGCAGATGGTTGGGTTGTCTAGGGTGGCTTTGATGCCATACTCGAAGCGTGGCTTGCCGCCGAGGCCGGAGATGATCAGGTCAACGGGGCGACTATCGACATAGAGGGTCTTTTGAACAGCTTGATGATCGTAGATATCACCCTCCGTTACTGTCAGGTAGTTTGCAATGGCGGAATCGGAGACATTGAGCTGCTGGAGCAGATTGTGGAGCTTGGAGGGAGTGCGAGCCACTATTATTGATCAGAGGTCCGGAGTCAGTTGGAGATGTTTGCATCGGACACGGAAAAACAACACATACGGGCGGAACAGTGAATGCCGGCTTGTAGGGCAAGAGCCAGACATGCATTGGCACATCCCCCCGTCGCTCCGAAGAAGGCTACTGTTGGCTGGTGTTGTTGTTGTTGCATGTTTGATTTATCGTATTGAATTTAAAGAATGATTGTTTGTATTGTGATTTACGATGATTATCCTCAAAGCACCATCATCCCCTTCGGTCTTTATGTACATTCTTCGGGCGCCGCCCTCCGTAAGTCTCCGTGCGACCGCGGAGACTTCTAGCTGAGCCGCCGTCTTACAGCGTTTGCTCCCAACACGAGATGGCAGCCAATGAAGGAGCATCATTATGACTCGGGGGCGCTCCGCTGATGCTCGTGTGATCTTTACGGCATAGATAGCAACCACGGTTCGTCAAGCTCCTGATAGTAAATTCTACTACGAATCGAAAGCTATGCTTCCCCGACCCCTAGATCCCCAAGATATGCTTCCGGAGACGGAGATCGTCCCAGGAAGTCCCTGAGCATCTCCAACTCGTCTCTACTACCACCGTGGGCGATAATCATCCGTCGATAGCGGAGTCCAGCTTCCGCACTCATGGGATCATCACGAAAGTTGGAGGTCCATATGTCCGCTGCCAAGGTCCGTGTGCTAGTCAAGGTAAGAACAAGAAACACACACCCATTGACGCTACACTTACTAGAGGTATGAAAAGTAGTTGGCCTCTTGCCCCCACATATAATGTTGGGTCGTGGCATATCCATGGCCCCAGTTGACTTCCTCGGGGCCCCGGAGGTGGGTCATATCTTGTAGTATCGAGTTGTATCGCTCGGAAATGCCATTGCCTTCCGAGATTTCGTGGCCATACTCGCCATGTACCTCCATATCGAATGCACTAAAAGCAACCTGTCGCAGGGTTAAGATACCCTGATTGACTTGCTTGACGGCAGCAAGTCCTTTGACCAGGGCCTCGGGGATCTCTCTGGGTGGCCGGCTGGCATCTTTCGCGATCCCAGCGGCACGAGCTTGCTCACAATACTCCGGCAGGTACGTGTAATGGCAGCTGAGCTGTTGCAAACACTCTGGTACCCAGCACCAATATTCCAGCAGCTGGCTGGGTGCCTCGACGAAGTCTCGCACAGTTCGATGGCCGGAAAATAGAGCGTACTTGGCTCTTCCCAGTAGATCATGCATTCCTATAGGCCATATTAGTAAGGAGAGAACTGTAAAGGCAATCTATGCGACCAACCGTGTCCCAGCTCATGGAACAGCGTGATGACTTCCCTGTGCTGCAGAAGCGCCGGTCGGTCAACTGTAGCGGGCGTTACATTGCATACAAGAGCCGTGGCGACGGGAGATTGACTCCCATCTTTTCTTTGAAATCCCTGCAATATTCTTTAGCAACATCTTGGGCATTTTGCAACATAGTAGACCTACGGGATGGATGTTGAAGTTGGCGGCATGGTTGTATTTCCCTGGCCGAGGGTAGATATCCGTATAGAGGTAGCCTAGGAAGGAGCCTGAAGACTCCTGTATGTCGCGTACTGCGAATATCCTGACATCAGAGTGCCACACATGCCGGTCGGTCTTCTCTGTGACTTCCGTAATGGATAATCCGAATAGCCTCTCGAAGATGCCCAGCATTCGCTGAATAGTATGTTCCGCTGGGAAATACTCAGAAATCAAATCATGGCTGACAGAATACTGTTCTTGCAGGATCCGGCGGTGATAGTAGTCGAAATCCCACAGATGAAGCGGTGATTCTAGACCAGCAAATCTCTGCAATGCTTGTAACTCACGGATCGCAAGTGGCTGCAATCTATGCCTGAGGTCCTCCAGGAGGTCTGTGACAGCGCCGGGGGATTTGACCAGCTGGTGTCGTAGTTGTTGTGCTGCGAAAGACGGGAACCCCAGTAGTCGGGCAGCTTCATGTCGCAGCATGATAGTCTCCTGGAATAGTCTGACATTTTGAGAGTAGATTGACTGACTACCCAGGAAAACATCTCGCCGGGTTTGAGCCACGCTGCACTTTCCCAAAATAGTGCTGACTGTTGGCCGATCCAGACGAATCCGACTAGTTTCGGAAGGACCCCGTTCGAGGGTCTTCAGCATGCCCTCATCGAGGCCCTTCAACTCATCTGTCGCTATCCACAGACTTCCCGGGTCGGTGGCAATGTTGTCCATGAACTGGACACGCAATTCGAGCAACCGCTTCACGATGTGCTGAAACCGATCGCGATCTGCCCCAGCCAGACGGAGGCCATTATCGACAAACATGCGATGGAATCTCGACAGGAGACGTATGGACTCGCCATCTTCAATGTCGTCATTGACCTTGCCAAACACGGTATCGACTAGAGCAAATAGGTGCTCGTCTTGGAACAGAGCTAGGTAAGCTTGATTAACCTGGTTCACTGCCTGTGATGATGCTTTGCGCAGATCCGGGGACGGCGCGACTGATTGGAATAGGGCAATATACTGAATGTGATACTTGAATTCATTATCTAAGTTGCCTAGTGGACGTACTAGAGTATCGACAGTGGCATCCCCAGTTGCAACTGTGTCGATTAAATGATTGATGTCCAGCTGGACCCGGCGGATAACCTGATTGGCATGGTCTAGAATCGCCGCGGGTGTAATGTCAAAGCTGGGTAGCGGGGCACATTCCTCGATGGTCATGACTGCGGCGTAGTTTCACGAACTCCTTACTTCTTGAACTGACTTGGCTGATACACGACAAATGTAACGAGCATGCGGTCCAAAGGCGCGAGGAGCGAAGTGTCGAAGAGCTCCTGAAGGCAGCACATGACCAAATCCTTTACTGTATCCTTGACAGTCATATGAGCAGCAAATGGCGAGTTACAGGCCATTGGTATGGCGGACAAGGATTGCTGCATAGGCACCTATACTGTATCCAGAATTAGTGTGAAGCTAGTTAGAACCGTCTGAGGGGAAGCTCCACATATTCTTATCGGGCAAATGGAGATGGCCGACAGGCAAGCTAGGTAATTATCCGTTGTGCGCCACAACAGTGAAGCCTTGGCGTTGAGTAAGAGGCACCAGAGTAAAGGAAAATATCGATCTCAGGCACGGATGCTATCGGCGTGACACAGCTCCTTGCATAGTGGGAGCTCTCACACCGGAAATCATGCCGTGCTACATGCCAACCTGGCTGCTGGTTACACGGATACTGGCAGCCTATATAACCATCGCGGTGAGGAGGGGGCGCTGTAAGGGCCATTTATCTTCTCATGTCATCTGAGGTGGACGGAGGCAATCTGATGCCATCAAGTGGTGCTATCAGCAGGATCCAACAGACAGGCCTTGTCCTGCTTCTTCAATCCCCTGGATGTAGCACAGCCTACAAGAGGGATATATTAAAAGCAGACGTTCACTCATGGTGCCACAGAAAGTAAAACCACTGGTCCTTCCAGAACTCTCCTCGATGCAGACCAGACGCGGAATTACACCCGCCCAAAGGCTTTAATTAATGCCAGAATAGCTGTTTTCTCTCACCGAAATTAGGCCATTCACCTCACTTCTTGCACTGTGGCGGCCATGTTGTCGCCAAGCAGTGCGATAGTCAGGGCCGAAGTTAAAGACAAGCTGAGAAATCACTCACCCACCCCACTTGGTGTCCTGCTTGGGATCTGATTACGCCGAAATGAATCCGATCGACAGGGAATGTGGATCCGATAACCAGATGACAAACATTTAGTCAGGCACTATGGATTCCTCACGAAACCTTCACGATCAATGATGTGACGGAAGGGAAATAGCCGTTGCGCAAATTTTGACGGCCGGGAATTGAAGCGGGAAGACCCGTTCAGTCCGAGCCCAACAATCAAACCTGACCCGTTCAGGGTCCTCATGGCCATTCCGGGAACCGGTGGGAATAATGCAACGGTGTCGCATGAATATCATTAAACCAAGTGTCAGTCCCGCGAAAACGGATCAGCAACGCTTCGAGTGTCATGCGTCTCCCTGCGTGGCGTCCTTGCAGATATCGGTCAGGGAGATTCTGGCCAGCCAGGATTTGCGGCTAGGAGGTGTCTAGTGTCTGGCGATGTCTCAGGCCGATGCCTGACCCGGCATGCCGATATCTGGTGGTGGATCCTGTCCGATCACGGCACGGTAAGTTTAAATGGGCCCAGGATCACGAGCAATATACAGACGATCCAACGTGGTCACCGGTGCGCTCGGGAAGTGGATATCTTCCTGCTGACGGAGGATTATGAAGCAACTCGATACGGGCCATTGCAGAACGGATGCAGCGTCATGAGAGGTATAAAAGCCCAGTGAGTAAGGTCTTGAAGTTATCATCACCGTTCAAACATTCCGGAGCGATCATGGCCACCAAGATGCTTCGAAGCTTGACCCTTTTGGGTGCGCTGTCAACAGCCCTTGCAGCGCCTTCTACCCGTCACTCTGGTCCCCAGTATGATTACATCGTCGTTGGTGGAGGTACCAGCGGTCTCGTGGTTGCCAACCGCCTGTCGGAGAACCCCAATGTGTCGGTCCTCGTTATCGAAGCCGGCGGTTCTGTTCTTAACAACTCCAATGTCACGGATGTTGATGGATACGGACTAGCCTTCGGTACTGACATCGACTGGCAGTACGAGACGATCAACCAGTCCTATGCTGGCAATGCCCCCCAGGTGCTGCGTGCTGGAAAGGCGCTTTCAGGCACGAGTGCCATCAACGGTATGTCATGCGTGGGCTGAAATGGAAATAAGCACTAACGTATTCACAGGAATGGCGTACACTCGGGCCGAAGACGTTCAGGTTGACGCATGGCAGACCATCGGTAACGAGGGATGGACCTGGGACAGCCTGTTCCCCTACTATCGGAAGAGTGAGAACTTGACTGTTCCCACAGCCAGCCAGCGTGCTAGAGGAGCCACCTACGACCCAAATGCCAACGGCGAGGAGGGTCCGCTGTCCGTAGCCTGGCCTGACATTCCCGCCAGTAACCTCACCAACACCCTGAATGCCACCTTTTAGGGACTGGGTGTTCCATGGACCGAGGATGTCAACGGCGGCAAGATGCGTGGCTTCAACGTCTACCCTTCCACCATCGATTACACCGCATATGTGCGTGAAGATGCCGCTCGCGCATACTATTGGCCCATTGCGTCTCGTCCTAACCTGCACCTGATGCTTGATACTTTTGTCAACCGTCTTGTCTGGAAGGATGGAGGATCCCAGGGCAATGCCACTGCTGCTGGTGTTGAGATTACCTCTTCCAATGGCACCATTAGTGTGATCGGAGCAAGCCAGGAGGTCATCATTTCTGCTGGTTCGTTGAAGTCGCCCGGTATCCTGGAACTCTCCGGTATCGGTAACCGGGATATCTTGGAGAAGTACAACATCTCTGTCCGCGTCGATCTTCCCACCGTCGGTGAGAACCTTCAGGACCAGACCAACGCGGGGCTGGCTGCTTCCACCACTCCTGGTCTGACGGGCACCAAGACAGTTGTGTATCCCAACATCTATGATGTCCTTGGCAACGACACCCTGTCTGTCGCACAATCCGTCCGCCGCCAGCTCAAGCAATGGGCCAACGAGACCGCCCAGGTGAGCAGTGGCACCATGAAGGCCGAGGATTTGGAAGCTCTCTTCCAGCTGCAGTACGACCTGATCTTCAAGGATAAGATCACGATCGCCGAGATCTTGTACTACCCCGGTAGCACCAGCAGTATTAGCGCCCAGTACTGGGCCCTGATGCCCTTTGCCCGTGGCCATGTTCACATTGGATCCGCCGATCCTACTGCCAAGCCGATCATCAACCCCAACTACTACAAGTTCGATTGGGATCTTACCAGTCAGATTGCGGTGGCCAAGTACGTCCGCAAGACCTTCCAAGCTGCTCCCTTGGCCAACATTGTGACCAAGGAGACCAACCCTGGCTTCGAGGCCGTGGCTGCCAACGGCTCCGAGGAAGACTGGAAGGCGTGGCTGCTCACACAATGTAAGTCTATACCACTATTCCCCGAGTAATCATGTATGCATGCTAATGCTTGTTTCACAGACCGCTCGAACTTCCACCCGGTCGGCACTGCTGCCATGATGCCCAAGGACAAGGGCGGCGTGGTCAATGACCGCTTGACGGTGTACGGCACCAGCAATGTCCGCGTGGTGGATGCATCCGTCCTTCCCTTCCAGGTGTGCGGCCACTTGGTCAGTACCTTGTACGCGGTGGCCGAGCGGGCCTCCGATCTGATCAAGGCCGACTCTGGTCTCTTCTAAGCAGATGTGTCAGTAGTTAGTCCTTGAATAGTGTATTTTATAGCATAGCAGGAACATAGATCATAGACCAATACTTCTTCATCATTACCACATCCACACTATGTACATAACATAATTATTCGTACCATGTTCGTGAAGCCACATTCATTAGCCCATTACTGTACAATAGAGCCGGCTGTCCATACACAACCATCTTCAATATTATTCACATTACACCAGTCACCCTCTAGTAAACAGAGGAAGTTGTGTTCAAAGTGACATTGCGGATAGTGCAACCCTCAGTCTTGTACTGCTGCGCATACGTTCCCTCGAAAATGCTCGTCAACCAGTTCCACGCCCGGGCGTTGCCATTCACCTGCTCTGCGGAGTGCCCACCGATGGTGTTCCGCTCATACAAGATGTTCAATCCCAGTCCACAGTACCGCTTGATCACGCGATCCGTGTCCTGGATGGGACTGACCTCGTCGTGAATGGCTTTGTACGCGAGCACCGGCATCTGCGGGAACCCATGGTAGCCCATGTATCCGTCCTGGTTCAGTGCCTTCTGCACCACTTGCGCCTGGAACGTGGCAGATCCGTTGACGAAGTAATCGAAGATGTTCTGGAAGGCATAGAAGACCTCTGCCTCGGACAAGGTCAGGTCCTTGGCGGCCAGGAATCCCGTGCGGTTGTAAGGACCCGTCGTCTTCAGCTGGCTGAGGATGAACTCGTATGTCTCAGGGTGCTGGCTTGACAGACCCAGCGCGGCGGCGGGGATGAGTCCCGCGCTGATGGTCGAGGTCACCGTGTCCATGACGCTGGTAACGTTGGGAGTGAGTCCACCCACGGCCAGACCGGCAATGTTCAACTCCGGAGCGTATTGCATCTGCAATTCGGCAGCCCATTCGCTGGCCAAGGCACCGCCAGAGTATCCCCAAAGAGCGTACTTGGCATCCTCGTTTAGGCCGAATCCGGAGGCGAGCACGCTGCGGACCGAGTCGAGGGTGGCATGGCCGGACTGCACACCGGCAGTGAAAGAGGCATTGGGTCCCTCGTAATCCGGAACGTTAACGAACCAGCCCTGCTGCAGGGCGAGGATAATATCAGAGGGCGGGCTAGAGTACATGGCGTAGCTGGGACTGGCGTTGACGTCGAACGAATCGTACGCGATCTGGTAGGAGAGCAGAACGCTTTGGTTAATGGCGGCGGAGGCGGCCTCGGTGGGCACCAGCAGGGTAGTCACAGCCCACGAAGGCTTGTATTGACTGTCTGTAGTGCGATAGAGGATGTTGTAAGCCGCCGAGGCATTGCCCACCACCACGGTCAAGTTGCCGGGCGCGGGCCGCACGCGCAGGATGGCACCGGGATCTGCCTCCTCGAAGCCCTCGGGCGCGCTGTACCAGGGATCCTGGCTGGGCGGGATGGGAGAGGAGCCTGGCGTGGGCAGCGCCGTTGCGCCATGGAACAGGCTCGCGGCCAGAAGCAGCACCGAGGGGATGTACATGGCGGGAGGGAAGATCAACGGGGGTGCGAGGTGAGAGGGATGGAGAGGGAAGGTTTGGGAAAATTCGGGCAGATCAGCTCTGTATTAATAATTTCTACTATAACCAAGCTCTGCTTCCTCTGTGTTTTGCCAGGATCCGGATCGAAGGATCCGTGGCTTCGATGGAGAGGGCGAACCCGCCAGTAGGAAACGAGCGGATGAAAGTCAAACCCCGGGCTTGATTCATGCAACAACATCCCGCCTACACCTCTCCTCCAGTGACGGTTGGGCATCACGCCCGAGCGGGGATGGACTAAGCCGGCTTCAGCAAAGCATCCGGGGCGGGTCTCGCGTGCGATGACGGCACTGGTGGAGCCGGCAGAACAAGAGCTGACCCAGAAGTTGCGGATCACTCGGATGTGCTGGTTGCTGGTTGCTGGTGCCTGGAATAAGTTCCCACCGAATGAACGAGTTTGATGGTCATCAATTTAGACAGAACTGCCGCAGGAGATCAAACAGGAGAGAAGTTTATTCCGGGGAAGCTTTCTGCCTAGGGCTTGGCTCCGAAGGAACGTGACGAAGATGCTGCAGGAACTAGTTCACCCAAGCTAGTAAGGGTGGCATGAGGGGAAACTGCAGTGTTCACATGCTATCCTTGAATGCAATATAGAAGTCTCATAGAATACTAAACAGCAGGTGGGCTCGGACATTACTCTCAGAGGAGTAGATGAGCCACATCAATATCGTATGTCGTAGGACAAGAGCTGGGTTGCAGCGGAAGCTTTACCAACATAACCCTCGAGCAGCTTGTTATTGCATGACACAAAAACCCGATGCCACTTCATACGCATGCTTTGCTCAATGCCCCACAGAGGGCTGATCGGGGATCGCCGCGATGGGTTCAGCTGGCCTCGCGACCGATTGAGTCTTCAACATATTAACCATAGCCAGTCAGACCGACCAGAGATAGTCAGAATGGTATCTATGAAGCAGGCCTAATTTGCGAGATACTGGTAGACAAACAAGACACCTCGGTCGCAAGGAATGGGTGAAATGTGTGCATGGGTTGAGTTCCAATGATTGTTATTGTGCTGACACATAGGAGCTGATGGATCAGCCTCGCGGATTACGTTTTTGGGAACTCAACGTGGCGCTCTCCCCCCACGACCCTAATTTACTTTGACTCTCTCTGCTTATTTCCCCGCTCGATATGTTGCATCGCTAGTGTGTTCATCTCTTCTCATCACATGTACTTTTCTGACAGAACCTCGGCAGCTTGAGTCTGTCTCACCGACAGTTTGCCAACTCTATTGGTACAATGGTCACCCAATAGCGATACAGCTCACTGATGCCCTGCTGCAGTGAGTGATGTTGATTGTTCTGCCACCATGACCATTTTCTGAGGCTGCAGTCCAACACATAAAATGGGAACACAACCCTTGAATACGATTGGCCAGACCAGAGCTGAGCGCCCCAGCGACCTACTTCTCGTTCTGCCGGTCAGTACAGCAAAGTAGGGACATAGCATCGTAGTCCCTCCCACTGAGTCAGTTCTGATATTGTATTACTGGATCTTCTAGTCATCTGTTGCTAGCCATAAGCTATGTATAATATTCATCATCCACTGCCGGTCATCATCCATCTGCCCGGTCTACCATGGCAGCTCCTTTCCATCATACTGGTTTAGACCAGGGTTGTTCTCCCACCCAGCAACATGAATATTCAAGAATTTTCCATTGACTTCCACATCCCGATCACGGATCATCTCCAAAACGCGCTCGACTCCAGTTCCGACCGGAAGATCAGCGTGTGAATTGGCTTCGTCTGTTTTCAACCACTAACGTTCGAATCAGATATATGGTCGGACTGACTTGAGGTCTGGATCGGCACTCACCCCAGGACTCACGCAAAATACGGTGAACCCTTCCTTCTCAAGCTCTTGAGAATAAAGCACCGTCATCATGTTCAAGGCGGCCTTGGTGATCTTGTAGGAGGGGGCGGGCAGGTCCCGGTAGACGGACTGCTTTTCAATGGAGCCGACGCTGCTGGAACTAGAGGATGCGAGTCAGGATTTAACACATCGGGTTCCTGGGTCAAGAGGGTCTTACATGTTGATGATCTTCTTCATAGAGCCCTTACGCAATAGCGGCAAGAAGTTCTGGGTCATGATATGAGGACCAGTCACATTGACACGGAACGTGTCTTCCAAGTCCGTCCTGCAGGACGTTAGTTTCCATCAAATCAAAGATTGATGTGGTTCACGGGTTAAAACCAACATGTCCTTAAGCCGGCCCCAGCCCACGATGCCAGCGTTGTTAATAAGTACATCCAGTCCCTTGTCTCCTAAGATGCTCTCGATGGTCTGAGCAGCCCTTTGTATGGTCTCGGGGATCGCAACATCCAAGTGGACTAGCACGACTCGGCTGGGATGCCGGTCCGCTAGGTCCTGCAGAGAGGCATTGACCGATCGCGAGGTGGCAATAATGGTGCTGACTTCTGAGAGAGGCTTTTCTGATAATTGGCGCACCAATTCGAAGCCGATACCACGAGTACTGCCAGTAACTAGGTAGGATGCCATGGTGCGTATTGTAGATACAGCCGGATTGCTCAGTGCAAAAGAGAGTCGCATTGGTGAGAGCCCAACATTTTATATACTTCATAGCATTCCTCCATTAGCCCCTCCAAATCCCCTATCCTTATGGTCTTTTGCCTCTCTCTATGCTTGTCTCCGTTTCCCCCGTGTACAATACCTGCCGTGCCTGTAGCCACTGGTCGGAGTTAGTGAGCTGGGGATAATTAACTCCGGAACACAAGGTTTGCGATGTTGCACAGGTCCGCAAACCCCGAGCAGGAACCGATCTTTACCAGCATAGCAGCGATTATCCGTGGATGTCTACATCACACCCATGGGCGTCATGATTGAAAGCTGGTCTTCTTATATCTCTCCCCTCTGTTGTGTTTATCTTGTACCCGGTTCTGCCCGTCGATGACCGCGCGGGATCGGGCGCCTTGTCGGTTTCCCTTTTCGGGGGAAGCCGCTCGCGCAATCATCCCGTGGCGTTAACGCTAGGCATAATTTGGTTAGCGTGGGTGATCGATACTGATACCGGTTATTTTCAAAGCCAGCAACAAGAAGAAGGGCTTATTACACCTGGTCGACAATCACCGATTTAAATAAATACTCGGACATACAGCTCGAGGCCCCTACATTAATAATATCTTCAGCAATTACCAGCAAGCTGGGGTCCCCACACAGTGCGGGATGGATCAGAGGCCCTCTTGGCGTGAATTGCCACAGATTCAACTTGGTAACCACGCTATATAACAAGAGTAGGCCCCGAAAACACATCTTGAGTCGCTAAAACCCCCCCCATTTCAGTTCCAGGCCTTCAGAGCTTAGCATATACAAGCAGAAGTCATGAGTGACAAATATGCAGCAGTGCACCAGTCGCCCAAGGGCGCTGGCGACGCGCGCCCAACTGCCCTGCAAGTCATCCAGGATGAACATCTTGAGAGCCAGTGGTCTGACAAGGTTATC